TTAATATTGCTGCTTCTAATAACCAACAATATCCAAGGTCCTGAGCTTATGTCATAATATAGGCTATAGGCTAGGCAACCCATAGCTCATGCCTGTAATCCTAGCTACCCAGAAGGCTGAAATTTGAGGATCGTGGTTCAAAGCTATACTGGACAGGAAAATCTACAATGTGGAGCTGTGGCTTGCTGAAGTGGTAGAACACTAGCCTTGAGCACAGCTCAGGGACAGGCCCCAGAATCAGCACCAAAATACGAAGGAAAAAAAAAATCTCAGGCTAGGAATGTGGCTTAGTGGTAGAGTGCTTGCATGAAGCCCTGGGTTCAGTTCCTAAGTACCCATAAACAGAAAAGTCGAGTAGCACTGTGGCTCAAATGGTAGAGTGCTAGAGCAAAAGAAGCTCAGGGAGAGCACCCAGGCTGAGTTCAAGCAAGCCACAGGACCGGCAAAAAAAAAAAAAAAAGAAAAAATCTCAGGGTCACTCAGGGGAGAAACACAAAGGCACTTTCACAAAGCCTATGTACCTCTGGTCATATGAAATAATATTTATCAGCCAGGTACTGATGGCCCATGCCTGTAATCCTAGCTACTCAGGAGACTGAGATCTGAGGATCATAGCTCTAAACCACCCAGGCAGGAAAGTACATCAGACTCTAGAGTGATAGAGTGCTAGCCTTGAGCTACAGAGCTCAGGGATAATGTCCAGGTGCTGAGTTCAAGCCCCACAACAGGAAAATAATATTTATTGAAATGAACTACAGGAAATGGAAACAAGTTTGTTTTCTTTTTTGTCTTGCAAGGGTAAGGAGGGGCAAAGAAATGGAGGGATACAGGGTGAACAAATACCTACAGTAGTAGTACTCACTAGACACTATGTTGAAAATGAACTATACAACTTGTGAGTGGAGATAGGAGTGGAAAACTGGAAGAGCAAGGGACAAAATATTTTTTTAAAAAATTCTCCGAGCCAGGTACCTGTGGCTCATGCCTGTAATCCTAGTTACTGAGGAGGCAGAGATCTGAGGATCACGGTTCAAAGCCAGCCCAGGCAGGAAAAGTCTGTGAGACTCTTATCTGCAATAAAAACCACTAGAAAACCAGAAGTGGTACTGTGGCTCACCTTGAGCTCAAGAGCGCAGGGACAGCCCGAAGACGAGTTCAAGCTCCACGACCAACAAAAAAATAAGGTGCTATAGATTTTAGCTACACCAGTGACTCATGCCTATAATCCTAGCAACTCAGTAAGATGAGATGCACAGGATCTCAGCCTATGTATGAAAGCCTGAAACTCAAGATAGTCTCCAAAATAGCCAGCAAAAAAAAACTTGGCTGACCCCGGCGCTGGTGGCTCACGCCTGTAATCCTAGCTACTCAGGAGGCTGAGATCTGAGGATCGCGGTTCAAAGCCAGCCCGGGCAGGAGAGACCATTGAGACTCCTATCTCCAATAAACGACCAGAAAACCGGAAGTGGCGCTGTAGCTCAAGTGGTAGAGCGCTCGCCTTGAGCTGAAGAGCTGAGGGACAGCACCCAGGCCCAGAGTTCAAGCCCCATGACCGACAAAAAAAAAAAAACTTGGCTGACTTTGGAAAGCAGTCTCCTGGAGGGTCCTTACAAAGCTAAAGATTGACGTTCCTTATGACCCAGTCATACCACTTCTAGGCATCTACCCTGAACAACAGGAACCAATACACAAGGACACATGCACCTCCCTGTTTATTGCAGCAATAGCTAGGTTATGGAAACAACCCAGATGCCCCACCACAGATGAATGGATCCAAAAATTGTGGTATCTATACAAAATGGAATATTATGCATCCATTAGAAATGACAAAATAATGGCATTTGCAGGGAAATGGATGGAGCTAGAAGGAATCATGTTGAGCGAGGTAAGCCAAGAGCAAAGAGACAAACGGTACGTGGTCTCCCTGATAAGTTGATGTTAAATGCAAAATGTTAGGTGATACGACAAAATTAACAGGACTTAAGAAACAAAGAACTCCCACTCATCTGGTTGAACCACTACTAAATATCCCCATGCTGCTGATCACATGGATGGTATATATGTGTACACCGTTATAGGTTATAGACTGTGATAGACAATTTGCTCCAGGAAAGTTAGAATGAACTTGTGACTTTAAATGAGCATCATTATTCCACAATACTGTGAAATTTGGGAAATTATGTAATCACTTAATCACAATTAAAAAAAAAAAAAGAACCTGGGGGAAGGTAGAGAGGGAAGGGATAGTAGGGGGAAAACAATGGAGGGGTTAACAATGCCCAATAAGAAGTGTACTCATTACCTTGCTCATGTAACTGTAACCCTCAGTATAGTATCTTTACAATAAAAAAATAAAAATAAAAAATAAAAAAAACTTGGCTGGAGGTATGGCTCCTTAATAAGTGAATTGAAAGAGTGTGATGCCCAAGTTCAAACCCATGTTCCAGTCAAAAGCAGGGAGTTGTGGCAGGTAGCTGTGTCAAAACATATCCTAACAACTAAGCTATACAAAAACATGAGTCTCCCAGGGCAGCTTAAGCAAAATCTGAAACTTTTGACACAATTCACTTGAACATCTTTTCACTATCATCCTTTGGCAAGCATACCAATAATTAAATGTTCACATTGCTCATCATTTATACAAGTTACTAATTTTGCAGCATTATTTGATTGTTTCATTTCCTAATTGCAATATCTTGAACTTAACACAGCCATTTTGGTGATTACACTTACCACACGGATTCTGTGTCCAATGGCCTTAGCAGGAAGGTTGCTTCGGAATTTGGCACGAACCATGCCACTGTTTCCATGGGCACGCGTTACTTTTCCCCAGATTACTCTGGTTTTGTTAGGTTTGCCGCCAGGAGTCACTGTGTTGCTGATTTTTTAAAAAGGATGTGGTATAAGAACTCAAGTAACTAATATAATTTGACATAAAGTGTATCCTGTAGATACTAAGGTGAGTCTCAATTCTGGAAATCCTCAGATCATTTGAGAAATTATAAAATGTCTGAAAGACCATTAATTCAAAAGATGCAGTAAACATGTCAGACACTTTTATCAGGGAATTACTTCAAAAGAGAAAAGGGCATATCCTAAACATTGCAAATGGAATTGTCCCTGGGGTGGGTAAAAACAAAAATACCAAAAGGGCCAGGCGCCATTGGCTCATGCCTGTAATTGGCAAGAAGAGTTTCCCTGGGACTTTTCTGCCCAGGCTGGTTTTAAACCACAATCTTTAGATCCTCCTTAGAGGCTAGAACTACAGGCACGAGCTCCCTGTGCCCAGCAAAATACTGTATTTTAAGAAATTAAAACAACCAATGTGGGAGTATACGTTTATAATCCCAGCACTCAGGAAGCCAAAGCAAGAGCACCAAGAGTTCCAAGCCAAACTTAAGTACAGAAAATGTGTCTCAAAACAGAACATATAGAATAAATCAGGGCACATAATAAAAGGAATTATATTGTTTCTTCAACAGTAAGTGCTGAAGTTACCTAAGTCCAATACCAAGTTAACAACTGTAACTTCCCATTAAGTTCCTTAAAGTTCCTATCAGGGGCTGGGAAAGTGGCTCAGTGGTAGAGTGCTTGCCTTGCATGCATGAGTCCCTGGGTTCAATTCCTAAGCACCACATATGCAAAAAGAAGTGGCACTGTGGCTCAAGTGGTAGAGCGCTACACTTGAGCTGAAGAGCTGAGGGATAGCGCCCAGGCCCAGAGTTCAGGCCCCACGACCAGACACCCCCCCCCAAAAAAAGAAAAGTTCCCATCAAAAGTTGGACACTGGCTAATCACATCTGTAATCTTACTTTTGGAGGCTGAGATCTAAGAATCACAGTTAGAAACCAGCCTGTAAAGTCCCTCAGACTCTTACCTCCAATAAAACACTCCAAAAAAGCTAGAAGTGGGCCTGTGTGGTCCAAGTGGTATAGTGCTAGCCTTGAGCAAAAAAAGCTCAGGGACAGCACCCCACCCTGAGTTAAGCCCCAGGACTGGGTTGAGGGAAGCCCCTGTCAATACAAAAAAAAAAAAGAAAGGAGTCCAGTCTCCCTTGGCTCACTCAGTAATCCTAGCTACCCAAGAGGTTTGAGATTCAAAGCCAGGACAGGCAGGAAAGTCTGAGACTCATCTCCAATAAACCACCAGAAAACCGGAAGAGGCTCTGTGGCTCAAGTGATAAAGCTTGAGCTGAAAAGCTGAGGGACAGCGCCCAGGCCGAGTTCAAGCCCCACGACAGACCAAAAAAAAGAAAAAGGGGGGGAGGGAAAAAAATTTCAAAACATCAAATTATTGCACTTACTTTTTTGCTTTGTATACATAAGCACATCTCTTGCCCAAGTAGAAATCGGTATCACCTCGGGCATAAACGCCTTCAATTTTAAGGAGAGCTGTGTGCTCCCTTTGGTTCCGGAGACCCCGCTTATAGCCAGCAAAAATGGCCTTGCACCATAGCCTAAGACACACAAGATGACAGACATTGAAGTTGTAAGTTTTGCATACCTTAAGCCATCAATAATTCGACTTGTAATGACTCGTCTATGAAAGTTATCTAAAGATATGAATCCTCTCCCAGCCCAATTGAGAGTTCTCACTTAAGTTCACATTTGTTCGGAATATTTTTTAAAAGCAACTACATTCCCCAAAAGGCATACCTTCCAGACATTTTGCCTTTTAGAAGTCCTGTTCCCAGCAGGCCTTAGAAGAAGAAAAAGAAAAAAGTCAAAATCATGCTACACAAGTTTCTCAGTGTCACCTTATTTCTTAAGGCTGTGAGACAAATGGCTTTCGGACCAGCATTTCACTGGACTTCGTAATTATGGCGCCACATGGGTGGAGCGCGGAGCCTGGCAGGGCATTCAGACTTCAGAGTAACTGCTAACCTACACAAACTGCAAAGTGAAGACAAGAAGCAGGCGGCATAAAGCAGCAGCTTAAGAAACTCCAACGGAAGCAAAGAACAACTCACTGTTGCTAAGTAAGAGTAGACTCAATTCGACATGAAGCAGCAACACGAGGGAGCCTCACACGCTGGCAGCGGAAGGAAGGCCGCTACCAGACCGCAGGGGCCGGTGGTCAGGGGCACGTCCGCATGCGCGGGCCCCGAGATCGCCTTCACTTCCCCCGGACGCCGGACAGGTATCGCCCGGCGGCAGCGCGGCGCCCGTACACCATCCGCTTCCCATCCCTTCCATCCTGTCACCCCTCTTCCTGAAACCCACGGGAATCACTGTCTGGCAAAGTCTCCAAGAGGCACTCTTACCTCTCCAAGGGATAGGAACACACCAGCCCGAGCTATTTGCCTCTAAACTTTAGCGGCAAGATACCTACTCACCTCCACAGGCTCCAAGATGGCGGAGAGAGGAAGGCGAGGCCCCGCCGCGTGGCTTTGTGGGAAATACACTTCTCCGCCCCTTCCCCTCCCTCCCCTCCATTTAGGCATCTTCCACAATCGCCAGAAAAACAAGACTCCGAAATCATCTCCGGACTGAAACCGCCCTTTCGAAGAGAACGCTCGCGATTTCCTGCCCTGCGTCATTTAATTTCAACCTGGAACAAGTAGCATTTGGGAGGTGGGAAAAGGGAGGCGAAGTGGTGGCCAGCTACGGGAGGAGAGGCGCAAGGTCCCCGGAGCTGTGCGTTGCTATGGCAACCCCATAGCTTGGTTTGGGCTCTGGGCTGCAGGTGAAGGTAAGGCGATGCTGGAAGGCACTCCTCCAGGGTACCTAACTGGATTCCCCCCGTACCTGAGTGGAGCACAGAGATTCTCGGATCCTTCCCTTGACCTGAAGAGTAAAGCCGACTGTGCAGCCGGAGGAACGAGCGCTTCCTTCCCTTAGCCTCTCCCCCTCCAGCTCTGCTTACTTCCTTTCCTCCCCTCTGACTTAAAAGCTGGGCCTCGCCAGGCACCCGCGGTCCAAGCCTGTAATTCTAGCCACTCAAGAGACGCAGATCTGAGGTTCCCGGTTGAAAGCCAGCCCAACAGGAAAGTCCGTGAGACACGGATCCTCCAGTTCACCACCCAAAAGATGAAAGTGAAACTCAGCTAAAATGATAACGTGCTAGCCTTGAGGGGGAAAAAAAATAAATTGCCCAGGGACCGTGCCCAGGCTGTGATTTCCAGCCCCAGAAACAGGCACACACGCACAAGGTTTTGGTCCTTGGTCCTTGATCTAAAACAACAAGAAAACGTTGAAGATTCTAAAGCGAGACATGACTATATTTTAAAAGACCACTCTCTCAAGTTCAAAAAGAAGATTCCACCCCCCCCCGCCCCCCCCCACACACACAGGGCTGGGAAGGTGGCTCAGTGGTAGAGCGCTTGCCTTGCATGCCTGAGGCCCTGGGTTCGATTCCTCAGCACCATATAAGCAAAAAGAAAAAAGA